TTTAATCGATAGAGTATCATTAAAGAAAGATTGGTATTGAATTTGGCGATAATCGGTAAAGAGGTTCTTTTTTAATAAAATTTTGAATTTTATGATCCCCGGCGATTCCATTAGATATGCTACGGGAATTCTTTCCTCCCTCGAATTACATGATATGTATTTATTTCACTCATAAAGCTTTCTATGAGGAAGTCAAACTAATAAATACTAATAACTATGCATCAAATAAAATACAAGCTTCTTCATAAGAGGAACTTTGTGAGCGAAATAAAATGTTGATGAAGCAATGTCCTGCAAGCAAATTCCTAATTTTATTTATTAATTATCTATAATAAAACTTATTTATAACTCAATATATTCTAAGACGTATACTTTTTTTATTTACAATATTTTGCAATTTAAAATACAAAATATCAGTAAAAAAAACATCAATTTTCGAGACTTTTAGTTATAAAAAGTTTTAATAAAAAGAAATTTTTTAATATAAACAATGAATTTTATTTTACTTTAATATTGAAAGTCGTTAAGTGATAATGCAACTACGGCAAAAAGATAAAAATAAACAAGATACAACGACAACGATAGCATGTGCGTGAATAATTTAGATTAAAACAAATATAATTAGACAGTTGTTTGGGCGAAAAAGTAGACATTTTTGTTGTTTATTTAAAAATTTCGAGCTTGCAAACATGCTCTTAATTATCGCGCAGAACGAACAGCTCTTTAATGAGGCGTCGATATTATATCATCGAATCGTTTTAACACGCGATAATGAGACAATTTTCAATGTCGCCGACGTGATATCGCCCGCGCCCTCACATAAAATAAAACTGTCGTGGCCGTATTGTGAGGAAAATACGCGCGGCGCACCCTCCGTCGGATGCTGCTAGCCGGGGCGCGGACAGCCTGCTCGAAATACGCCCTGTCTCTCCAGAGACAGGGGACATATTGTTTGGTTCAGTAATTCCTCGCGTTATTTCCTGTGTTTGCTTTTTATCATTGTAAACTGATATATTGTCCGTAGCTCCCCTTGCTATGGAGAAACTTATGAGCGCGGGAAGAGAGGGGCGGTTATATGGGATATGCGTATATGAGCGACAAAGAGGGCTCACTCATAATAGCTCGGACTAACGGTGCAAAGTTTTCACTTTATGAAGTGATGGAAACGAGATTACTCGACTATAACGAAGAGCTGTGCTTTCTTTATTTTCAGACGTAAATGTGTTTAGCAATGAAACATCGCTTCCCTCCGCGCTAGGCTACGTACCGCGAATGTACATGCTCGTAAATATATTTGATAGAGTGGCACGTGATTGTCATAGTGGTCTGTTTTTCATCCAGTCGGATATTTTGGGTTGTCGAGTGTTGGTTTATATTGACATTGGAAAAAAGATTCTTCCGTGTGATTCTTACTAAAAATAAAAAATTTATTAACAGCTATATAAAATACGAAGTAATTTAATTAAAAACAGAGAGAAAGAGAGAGAGAGAGAGAAAGAGAGAGAGAGAGAGAGAGAGAGACAGAAGGGGGAGGGGAAGAAAGAGTGTAGCTTACACATATAAATTTGAAATTAAAAATACTAAATTCATAATAAATAAATCTTTATCTAAAACACTTCGTTCACGACAAAAACGAAGTTAATTTGAGTATTATATGAAATGCAAACAATTTATATCTTATAATACATCATTGTCTTATATTACTCTGAAAAAATATATTAGCGAAACATTCTGTCATTTTATACGCGAGAAAATTTTTTTTTAATTTACTATCTTTTCTCTTTTTATTAAGAAAGTATTTTTAATTAAATTAAAATAAATTATAAATAAAGCGTATAAGTAAAAATAAAAGTACTCTCTTTTTCTTCCTCTTTTTATCTTGTCTCAATCAATTAATAAAAGTTTTGTCTTGGTGAATCGTTGGTCTGTCGTCATTGAGATATTGTATTGACATGTACTTCGCGTCAATGTTTGAGCCTGAACTCTCTCGAGTGTCGTATAAGTGCTTGCGTGCGACACTGTGATATACACGTTCGTCATATGGCGTGACACGTGCGCCAACGCTAAACTCGTGTCGCATGACAAACAACGAATTAAGTCTTACCGGCCGTCACATTTCAGAGCCGAATCAAATTCTCGCCAGTTTGAGATTTGTCAATAGGATTTGCGAGATTATGTTGAGATAAATTTGCAAAATTATTAATGAATGAGAATTTTAGTTAAATATTCAATACAAAAATGAAAGATATATGTACTTTTCACATAAAGTTTAATAGAGGAAAAATGCAAATTTTCATAAGAATAATAGGATTACGTATACATAACATATATGTGTTACGATATGGTAAGAGAATCACCCAAGAGCAAAAAATAAAATAAGCAATATATACGTACTTCATTTAAGTGAAAATTATAGGTTTCATACATTATATAGACAACGTATTGAAGCAACATATTCTGAAGCAGTCATTCGATGTCGTCTTCAAGACCATTTGAGATTCGGATTCGTTTGAATCTACATAGCGATGAAGACGTACCTATCGGTGGAACGTAATTTGTGTTCCTCTTCAGTTAATTACGCGAGGGCGGCATTGATACTGGTGGAAGAAGCGAGGCGAGGTGAGACGATGTTTAAAGGGCAACGGTGTAATTCGAAGAAAGGCGTCGAAGCGCATCGCGGCGTTGCTGGTAAAGTGGGTGTAAGTGAGCGGTGGAGGTAGGTGGCTACCGAGACGGTAGTAGAGGTGTGGTTGTGCCACACACCGGGAGTCGCCGTCTTAGCAAAAGCTGGTATGATCTGGCACGGAAGACAGGGGAGTCTGTCTGTCTTTATCAGCCGGGCAGGCAGGTAGAGCCGTCGAGCCGTCCCGCCACCCCTATCTCCTTCACCAGTTCCCCCCTCTCATCCCTCACCATTCTTCTTGCCAAGAGTTACGCCAACGGCGAGAACACCCGATTGGCGTTTCTCTCTCGAACGAGGGAGGACATCACGCACCGCTATTGGTTCCCGGCGAATCCATACTAGGTATTCATTCGCCACCCCATTCGTCGATCCTTCACGGGGTCGAAATCCCATCTACTTCCCTTTCCACGTGAACTCTCTCTCTCTCTCTCTCTCTCTCTCTCTCTCTCTCCTACATCCTTCTCATTCGACACTTCTTGTGAGCGGCCGATGCAACTCACCCCTCTCACGGGCTGCCTTTACAATGCATTTCACCGCCGACGCTTTTACCTTTCGCGTCCGCTATTTCTAAATAAATACTTTTTTAATAAGCGTCGAGGTCGTGTGGGTGTGATAGTAAACGCCGTAACTGCAGCTCCATTTTGCACGTGTTTTTGCGGGAGAAAATTGGATTTCCACGTTCGTCCAGGTGCCAGCCATTTTTCTCATTCCGATATTTGCCGCATCTGCCTGATGCCTTAATTTTTTGTTAACGTTGGCAAATAGTTAGAGATGGTATAGGATCATTCTAAAATAAAATATAAATTTTATAAACAACAGGAAAAATCGTATAGTGCGTGATCTAACGCAGTTGAATTAATTATAAAAATTAAACCTTTGTGTAACACTGTTTTCTTTTTAAATCTTATTGAAACAAAATCAATTACTTCAAACTTTATAATAATGTCGATGTGTCTTTTGTAACAATATAATATATAAATATATATTTTGTTTATTATATTGAAAAAAAGTGTATGTGTCGGTGTGTAGTATATATGGCATACAATATATACTACACACCCACACATACACTATCTTTTAAACATAATAAAAGCAATATATATTTATAATATATATTTATAATATATATTGCAATATATAATTATATGTAAGATTATTATTTATTCATAACGAATCGATATATGGCATGCTTCAATTGTTTAAGAATTACAAACTTAAAAAAGATACCTGTATAAAATTATATTTGCAAAGAAATATAAAGTAAAAATGTAATAATAATAATAATAATCTAGATATAAAAATATAACAAAGATTTGAAAATATATAATGATGTATTCCCGAAATAAAGACACTTCAAAAAGATTATATATTTGATATCTGTAAAATATAACTGTTCTAAGAATAATTATAATTATAAGTGGTAGATTATAAAGATTATGAGTTTGCTTCTTCTTTCTTTCTTTCAACAAATAAATAAATAAATAAGAACAATTAAAAAAATTTCAAGTAATTATAAACAAGTAGAAAAACTTTTGTAAGAAATATTTACGTAATTTATAACACTGGTTTTAGAAAAAATTTTCTAAAAATTATTTATTTATCAGGAATTTGCAAAATTGAATAAATCAAATTGTTTTGATTGACTTAACAAAAATGTATTAAAACTTTTAATAATTTTAAAATGTATTGTGGGATAAATAACATGCAATTTCTTTAGGAAATACAAGTAATTTATTTTGTTACTATTGTTCAAAGATCCAAGATAAAAAGCATGGTATCACACCACAAGTTCTAAAAAGAGACGATGCATGAGAATATCACTGATATCCGGCTTTTAAAACCGTCATGGGTCGGTGGTGGTCGATGTGGCAGTGAACGAATTAGACCGAGAAGGAGCAGAACTCCGAAAGCAGGGGATCGATGCAAAGTGTCGAACTCGAAAGCGAGGAGAGCGATCCTTCGTCTGCACTTTTGATGTCGATTGCACCTTACCCTATCCACCGTGAATTCGAGCAACTCGCGCGGCAGACAGAAACGAAATAGTTACACCGCGACATCCGCGATAGGTAAAAGTGGGAAAGAGCGAATACGGAGGGATGAGAAACGCGGGGATGAAAAATTTTATGGGATAACGCCGGTCGAGCAACGAGGATGGGCCATCGTATCGCTCCGCCTATCGTACCGCCCACACCAGTGGTGGTTGCTGCTGGGCTTTCTCCCGTTCCCTCGCTCCCTTCACCCATCGCAGCGCAGCTGGAACCTTCTCGCGGCTCGCTAGCAAGCGACGCACACACGTCATCCTCACCAGCGGCGAACGGCGTTTTTAATCGTCGCCTCGGGGTCGTCGCCGCGATCCATCCACGATCCATCCCATCGGGAATCGTCGGATTCGTCAATTCCAGACTGCTATTGGGAATACTTCCGGAAGTGATCTGAGTCGTGTATCGGATGTGACGTTGACCAGAGATCAGTGAATCAACTGGACACTGTTTTGAGATTAAAAACTTTCGGATAAAATTTATCGAATTTTACAGAGAAATCGAGAGAAAGAGCAAGGGGAAAATCAATCTTGAGATCGATTGGTGCAAAAGATATTTCGGTGCACGAAGATAATTGAGATTTTACCGATAATAATGTTTAAACAACATCACTCTTGCTATAGAATGATTCTTCGAGATTGAACTTTCAAATCATAATTGATTATCTCCAGAGAAATTCTATTTATGTTTCGATGATTAGGAGTAAATTAAAAATGAAACGGAAGGACTAGTTTAATAAACGGGATGTTGTTGGTGATTATAAATATGGAATGTGTGAAACGAATAGTGGATTGAAACATTAACGGATCTTGACGATGCCGTCGGACAGTCAGGATTATGTAAAGTTAATTACTGAAGTGTCGAACACCGAATTGTCACGAAAGATTCATTTTTGCAATGAAAATGAAATCTTTTGAACTCGATGACGTTAATTCGCGTCACGATGCGTGTGATCTGAAATTATTCGCGATAAATTTGTATTATAGTTGTTAAGGACTGTATGAAGAACCACACCGTGATTAATAAGAATGAATTTCATTCAAATCTTGAAGTATATTCGATGTTAGATTTTCGATAATTAATCGGAAGTCGGTGAAAGTGTTTCGGGCTTATAGAAAAAGAAAAATTTGTGTTGTGAGCTGTGTTGCTGGGGTCAGTTTAAACGGCGACATTTTCACAATTTCTGTAAGTATTAACATACACAGTTTAAAATCAGTTTTTTTATTATCTTAAAAAATTGGTAATGAATTGAATTATAATTGTAATAGTGAATAGGTTGGGCGCATTCAGTGCACATTAAAGTCATTGTACACTGATTTAATGTCTATAATACTTATTAAAGTAAAATGCAAATATTTCGACTGATAAAATGCCCAATATGTGTTTTATGAAATAGTACAATAATAAGGATTTCGTGACTTAACCTGTTTATATTAAACATATACTTTATATATTGATTTGTGTACAACGGCTTTAATGTGCACTGATTGTGAGTGCGCACTGGTGCGTCCAACCGAATTGGTTATAGTCTTCTATATTTTTCATGTTGCGTTATTCAAGTTTATTACTAAATTTGTAGATCTTTCCTAAGTAGTAAATTATACAGATTTATATAAATTATAAATTATTTAAAATTAAAAATTAAACAAATAAAACATTTGATTTAAAATCAATGTTCTTTATTTCTAAATTTTTCATTGTCTTAGTTTATTATATCAATTTTTATTATTACTGTTATTTGAACGAGTAATCGTACGTATGTATAATATGTACACATATTTATAAATAAATAAATAGATTTATTTACTAATAAGCACTTACATACTTATACAATAAGCATTTACTATTATTATATTTAAATATTATACAAATAAATAATTAAATTAATAAATATATCTACATAACTTTGTGACAACAAGAATAGAAAGAAACAACAATACATGTAAGTCGCATATATTAAACACCTCGCGCCATATAACAAAAAATTACTATTATTATTATTGTTGTTTTTATAAAATCGCGCTGATAAGCATACGCATAATTCTGATCGATTTTTAAGTGATAAATATGTCTAGCAATAGAGTAATTCGATTGCGGTAGAGAGTGCATAACGCAGTCGTGTACGCAGTTGTGTCCTCAAAGTCTATAACACAGAAGTTCATTAATCGAAGGGTAGAATATGAGATCAAAAGCTTGGGATAATTAACCAGATTGCATGAACGGATAAAGCGAAGATATATATACCGCTTTTCTGCATCCAGAGAGTACTAAATGGATTAAAACGCCCGTCGCGTCGCAGCTTCATTCTCTCGCATTGAAAAAAAAGCGGGATGTGTCGCGTGCAATAACCAAATATATTCAAAAAGGATATGAACGTTCAAAAATCAACAATAATTGTGAGCTGAATTGTCTTTTAATAACACAGTGAATTTTTGAACGTGAATCTTTAATTATATGTTTGTAAATATAACAGAATGCAAAAATAAAGTTTAAGTAAAAGTAAGTATTAAGAAGTCTGTATACATACGTTGTAGAAATTTTATATATATCTCAATTTCTTATGACTTTTATGAATAATGAAATAAATATTTTTAGTAGTAATAAAAAAATAGTATTAACATGTCGAGAGAGGAATAAAAACTTACAAAAGAATTAAATTCAAACATTTATAATACAGAAATTAGTGATTCCATAATACTTATTCTCCGTTCTCTCTCTCTCTCTCTCTCTCTCTCTCTCTCTCTCTTTCTTGAATTATTGAACTATTATTGCATCTACAATATTATACAATAAAATTTTAGCATATCTCATTGTTTCGTTACTGAATTTTTTTTATCTACACACAACAATTAACTTTATTAGATTCAAGTTTACTTTTCAACGAGTGTTTTCCAGAAGAAGATGCGAGCAACATGATTAACCGACAATTACTTCGGCTATTTGCGCTATATAAACACAGCAATTTGTCACTTCATTTCTTCCTCTTGTAATGATTCAGATGTATGCGCATACATACATACATATATACACGGACGTGTCGTGCTAGCGATAAAAACATTTAGCATTCGAAAGCGCCTCGACGATTATCATGGTAGGGCGTAACAATTTGCGTAGTCAAAACAATGTGCGCGCACGATACAAACAAATGCATGTCGAAGCAGTAACGGTGCGGTAAGTGCCACTGGAAATTAACGAACAATTAGTTCGCCCCGTCCATGTTTTATAAACACGGTGCTTGTGCCATCGACGACCATTATTTTCGAGGATTCTTTCGCCCGCTCGCCTACCCGGCCTATGCGCTACTACCTAAAGTACTTCGCGTTCGAGCGTGCGTCCGAAGCATCCGTGTATTCGAGCGAGTACTTAAGGCCTTCGAGCACCGCGCGCGGCACGGCACGGGAGCCGGGGTCTCGCGAAGAGCGTTTCGTTGTGCTTAAAAGCACGGCGAGGCGCGGAGGGCAGAGCGAGGCCAAGGCAGCTTTGGTGTTGCAGCCTCTTCAAACCTCGTGCAAACACTCTGGGACGCGGAGCGTTCGCCTGCTACGGCGATTAATATCCCAATAAGGTCTCGTTCACGGAGTTCACTCGACCGCGCGCGGCTTCGTTGTTTATTCATTGTATCGCCGAATGCTCTCCCGCGGCATAAGCTGCTTCGATGGCCGCTACGCTCTAACCGTAGATTCTTCGGATCGGGGATTAGAACAGCTAGATTACATAACAGCGCGGGAAAGACGATATCATTTCACGTAACATGAACAAATATGGAAAAATAAAGAATACTGTATATACAGTGACGGACAAAAATATTGACATTGGGTGATTGATACTGTAAAATGGTCTTCGAAAAAAATGGTAACTGCTCACCTGTATTTTTATTCCTTGCCTTATATTTGACTATACATATATTACATAAATTAATATAAATGAAAGTAAAGTTACATGAAAAAAATAAAAACGCTTCTTTAAAAAAAATTTTCTTTGGGCTTTCAAATTATATTCAAATTTTATAAAAAATTCTGCATATTACTTTCGAATTATTGCTTTGACCGTACTCTTCATTTATTTGTGTAAGAATCTGTGATGTATTTTCTCTTACTATATTTACAATTTTTCGTTTTTTTTTGTACTTAGTTTAGGTGGGCGTTTACTTTATTCATTACTTCTCAAATTTTTTATTTTGAAATTTTTTGATAATCCTATGGATTTTGTATAACGATTTTTTTTAATTATCTATAGAAATTTGTAAATGTGTTAGGTATTCTCTGTTTTCAACTTTAAATTCAATACAATTTTTCTTTCCCCCAATGTCATTTCTTTATCTTATGTATAGTTACTCTATCATGTAGTTATTTTGTAACCGAGTTAAAAATGAATCTAAATAGTAAAAAAAAATATTAAGATTTGTTTTACAAAAGACGATAGGTTTTATTATTAACCAAAAAACGTAATCACATTTCGCGTCATGTGCAACAGTAGTGATGTTGATTAATCAAGAATACACATAATTCATTATGCTAATAGATTTGTTGAAAGATGAAACATTCTTGGGAAATGTTTTTATTTCTTTCATATGTGACTGCATATTCATTTATATTAATTCCTATAACGTGTAATGAAATGCAAACAAAAAACAAAGCTTTTTACAAAAATTAACATTTTATTGTCATTTTCCTCAAAGATATATCTTTGGTAGATCATTTTACAATAGCGTTTGCACTAAGTCAATACTTTTGTTTGCAACTATACATATAAGAAGGATAATCTGTAATAAAGAATACATAATTTGTCAGCTCTATTAAATCTTAAATATTTAAAATTTGCTAATCTAGAAACGTTAAGTAATATTGAGTACACTAAAAGTGATACTGAATATTGTGATATTTGAAATGTACAAAAGGTTTTTAATATATAAAACTCCCTCTCACACTCATATTTCCTGAAAAGCTTAAATTCTTAATTGGCTATTATTCTTATTACTAATATATTTTTAAATGTATTTAATGTGATAATTAATAGACAGTTAATTTTGAATCATTAGTTCAGAAAACTCATCATTTCTGTATGCATTCACAGTTTAAATAGTTTAAAAGGAAGAGTTTCTTATTTTGGATACAAAGTCCGCCATATTTCTTATTATTTTTAATACAATATTATCGTGTCATGACGGTCATATGGCAAATCTTATTATTATATGATTTATATTGAAGTCATTCAAGTTTTCGTGTCGAGATCATGTAACTTCGACAACTTTTTGTCCGAGCATCACGGGAGTATTCGTACGTGTATGTCTCATCGTATATTGCGAGAGCAGCTGACACTATAACAACTGAATCTACAACCGCTGAATGGAGAATTTTAAGAGTGCGCGAAGCCGCGATTAGCATATTTATCGAGTATCTTGTATCATTTCACCGTTGTTAAAATGGGGTAACATGTCACGATGTTAATTGCCAAGCGTTGAGATACGACCGGCCGAAAAACTTGATATCGCTTTATTGACCAATCCACCCAGTTACACTCGGTAAGCGTGTTAAGTATCCGCTGCTTTTATTTTACGCGAATTTTATTGCAAACTAAGTGGAATAAAATTTCGCGCGCGAAAAATTATTTAATTAGCAATCGAATATTTGCCGTCGGGTGTTAAACACAGTTGTATGACGTAACGCAACTTCTCAGAAATTGAACAATTTAGGTAAAGAAGATATTTCAAATAATAAATCTAATGTATTTGCTATAATCATAACATTCTGATTGTATTGCAAGATTTAAAATTTTTTTTTAATTGTGTAAATAGATTAGATATTATTAACTTAAGATTTTACAATTTAGTTTAGATATCATAGCAAGAAACAAAGTATATTAAATAACTAATTCGAGTGCAACAAAAATTTATAAAATATTAAAAATTAAAAGTTGGAAATGGAAAAGTTGAGTAATATTTATTATTTCACGTTTTATTATTAACGTGGAGTAACTATATATCTTTTTTCATGGAGCAACTGTATACTTGTAAATTTTACGTGCATTTTATCTAAAAGTTATTTCGTTATTATATATTGAAATATCTTGCATTTAAATAGTTGAGAGGGAAATTTTTATTTTGTGTCATCATATATATGGTGTACAGCAATAATAAAATAGATAAAGAATTGCGGACTAAAAATAAACATGCATATCTGCCTTGC